GGCGGCTCAGTTATTTGTGCCCAGCCAGACTGTGGCAGAGATGGGTGGCCAGCAAACTTTATTTCTACTTATTATTTGCTATAACAAGTAGAAATAAAGTTTCAAATAGAGATAAATGAAATAGAGAAAACAGGTGAGACAATAGGCCTTTGAAGGAGGCTTGTCCTTAAGCATGACTACCCCCCACCCCATTAAAAGGATAAAGGTCCCCCTAAGTGAAAGAAGAAGCAATCTGCACAGGCCCTCTGCTAAGCGCTTTAAGGGGATCATCCCAGCATCATCGATTCCAATTTATAGGAGAGACTAATCAGAGGCTCAGAAAAGTCCAGTATGTTCCCAAGGTCGTTCAGCAGGGAAGCGGCTGAGCGCAAGGTTCAAACCCAAAGAATGAGTAAAAAGATGCCTCAGAAGAGGCTGAAACAGGCAGGAATGCTGAGAACAGGCAAGACAGGCCAGGTCTAAAGAGCTCCCTGAAAGAGGTGGCATTTCCTGGCTTCTGAAGTCACTCACTAGTGGAGTGGGGAGTGCGTCCTCCTCACTGCAACCCCAGAGCAGCACCGCCGGGCCGGAGGAAAGCAGCCCAGGGCGTCTGATCCGCAGATTTGTCTCCAGGGTGCGCTGCGTGGCCACCCCTCCCGTGTTTTTTTTTTTTTTTTTTGGCACTGGGGACTGAACTCTTCTCAACACCACTGAGCTATATCCTCTTCTTATTTTTCCCTTATTTATTTTTTGTTAATTGCCCAGGCTGGCCCCAAACTTGTGATCCTTCTCAGACAACCTAGTGGCTGGGATTACAGGTGTGCGCCARCCGGCCAGCACTTTTAACGAAGTTACTGAGGCCGCACCCGGAGCAGCGGTATCGGGACCCGGGTCAGGGGCTGGTGGGTGTCCCGGAAACCCGAAGGGAGGGTCCGAGGGCGGGATCAACTCTGAGCTCGGCCTCCGATAGAACCTCACCGCGGCCACGCCGTGTCTGGCGCTAAGCACACTGTGAGCCTGCGCCACGGGAGCGCGCAGCCAGGCGGGGCGCGCACGCAGGCCGCGGGGCGGGGCCAGCGGGCCGGCGCCTCTGACGGGCCGGGCCTGGCGGGCCGGGGCGGGGCCTCGTGGCCGGTTTGGAATTTTTGGCGCGAGGCGGCTCCGCGCGCGTTCACGGGCCGTTCCTCATCTGGGAGAGCCTTCCGCCCGGACGTCGGGAGCCGTCGACCCCAGACCCTGGCCCACTTGACCGCCCCGAGGCCTCCCGCCGCCTCTGCCGACCTGGAATTTGGGACCTCGTTGCTGCGCCCCGCCCAGCCGCCCAGGTAAGCCCGGCCCCCGGCCCAGGGCTCCCGGGAGCGCAGCCTTTCCGCCCGCTTCCCCGCGCTCCCGGGCGGCTTCTGGTCCACGGACTACCTCTTCCCGGCCAGCTTCCACTCGCGTACCCTGCAGCCCCCTCCCTCAATGGCCAGCCCGCCCTCTGCGACAGCCACACCTCTCCAGTCCCTCGGAGGCTGGCCCTGCCCTCAGGTGACCAGCTCCGGGCCAGCGCCGTCCTCGACGGCCCCGCYCACGCCACTAGGCCCGCCCGGGTGGCCGCCCTTCCCTCCTCTCGCCGTTCCCCACCCCGCCGGCTGGTCCCCTTTCCTGTGGGGGTCCCTTCCCCAGCGGCTGCCCTCCTTTATTTGACCTTTCCTGGGAGAAGCCCTTCCGCTCTCAGGGCCTTCAGGCGGGTCTCTCCGCGGGCCTCCCGGTGACAGCCCATCTCCTCAGTTGTTCTCCAGGGTATTCCCACGCCCACGGAGAGAATTCCGCCGCCGCCCTGCCCCGGAGGAACTCACAGTCTAGCGGTAGACGGTGGTCAGCAGACGTGTCCGGCTCAGTGAGAGGGTGAGGCCCGAGGCCCCTGGAAATTGTGGCGGTCACTCTGGCTGGGGCTGAGGCTCCCGGCCACCCTGGCTGTATCCCCGAGCCGGCTTCCCTGTCAATCCTTCGCGCCCCTAAGGCTGTTTGTTCACGTACTTCTTCATGGTTCCTGGGGTGGGATTTTATTTTTTATGTTTTACTTTTTTTGAGAAAGGATCTCCCTAAGTTGCTTAGGGCCTCGCCAAATTCTGAGCGGCCTCGAACTTGTGATCCTCCTGCCTCGGCCACCTGAGCTGCTAGGATTACAGGTGTGCACCACCAGGCCCATTGGTGGGATGGGATTCTTGGGTAAACAGAGGCAGAGGAAGGGTCCCCACAGAATGTAGGGTGAGGCTTTCAGCCAAGCCCCTAGATCCCTCCCCACACAGTGGCAGGCCCTTCTTTAGGTGACTGATCCTGAGCAATCACCAGCACACTCTCTGCTAGGTATGGCATCTTGTGGTCCATTGGTCCATTGTGGCTTTCTCTCAAATTTGACTCTTCCTCTCTCTCTCTCTCTCTCTCTCTCTTTCTCTCTCTTTTTGTGTGTCAATTACAGCATTATAGGAACACAACAGCCCTCTGCCCAACACACAAGGCACTGATACTTGTGGGACGACTGTACTTTGTGTGTTGTTTCAGTTACTACCCAGAGTTTATGATAGCATTTATGGCATCATTTGCTTGATAGTAGTTTGCCTTTATGCTGGACTTAGGGCTAAGCCCTCCATAAATTCAGTACCGTATGAGTCCACAAATCCCTGAGGCTAGATGCATTTCAGTAATTAAACTGAGATTTAGAAAGCTAATATGGGTGCATATTCACCACTGATGGGTATGGGACATCATTCCAAGATCAAACATTAATATTTCTGCCAAGAAATATATGAATATTTTCACTGAGAGATGATGATGATAATGATGATGATGATGATCCTGACGATGATGATTTTTGTGGTACTGGAGATTGAACCTAGGGCCTAGAAAGTGCCAGGCAAGTACCATATCCTCAGCCCTTTCCTTCCTTCCTTCCTTCCTTCCTTCCTTCCTTCCTTCCTTCCTTCCTTCCTTCTTTCCTTCCTTTTTTCCTTCCTTCTTTCCTTTCCTCTTTCCTTCCTTCCTGGGATTGAACTCAGGGGCACTCAACCGCTGAGCCCATCCCCAGCACTATTTTATATTTTTATTTAGAGACAGGGTCTCACTGAGTTGCTTAGCACCTTGCTGTTGCTAAGGCTGGTTTTCTTTATTTGTTGCCATATCAGGGATTTAATTCAGGGGCACTTTACCACTGAGGTATATCCCCAGTCCTTTTTGTTTTTTTTATTTTGAGATAGAGTCTTGCTGAGTTGTTTAGGGCCTCACTAAGTTGCTGAGGCTGGCTTTGAACTTTCCATTCTCTAGTCTCAGCCTCCTTAGCCTCTGGATTGTAGGTGTGTGCCACTATACCTGGGAGGGTTTATTTTTGAACCCTCAATTCTATTCTCATTATCTCTCTCTTTATCTATTTGTCCTTAGGTGAGTACCACACTGTTTTGATTACTATGGCTGTGTAGTAGGTTTTGGAATTGGGGTGTGAGTCTTCCAACATTTTTCTCTTTTTGATTATTTTGATGAACTTTCATATGAATGTTAGGATCGGTTTTTCATTTCCTCTAAGGAAATCACTTGGGATTCTGTGCTAGGGACCAATCCCAGGGCCTTGCCTATGCTAGGCAAGCACCCTACCACTGAGTCATATCACTAACCCATAATTTGAAGAGTATTGCCATTTTATCAAATCTTTGGATCTATGAACATGTGACATCTTTCCATTTATTTAGACCTTAATCCCACCCCCCACCACCTCTCTTCTGGCTCTTGAATCACCACCACCATCATCATCATCATCGTCATCATCACATACCATGTATACCTTCCACCATTGAGCTACATTGCCTCCCCCAGCCTCCTCTTAATAACTCACCACCAAAGCCTCCATGGACTTTGACAGCATCAACTTCACAACAGTGTTTCAGTTTTTTTAGGGGAGCAACTTCAGGGCTGGTTATTTTTTTGTTCGTTTTTGTTTACTTTAATTAAATCCCAAACTGCTAGGATATATATGTATATATCACCAATTTAAAAAATATATTTATAGTATTCACTGTGGTAACATGTGCATAGCATAATTTGGTCAATTTCATTCCACATTCCCTCCCCTTCTCCTTCTCTCCTCTCTTCCCCTCAACTTCCCCCTCAGTCCCCTTAGGGCTTCTATTTCACAACCTGCTTCTATCCCTGGGCAAAATATTTGAGTCATGCTGTGGAGCTGGGATCTGATAAATATGAAAGCCTGCCTCCTCTGGGTGGATACCTTAACTTTGATAGGGTTGCAGGAGCTCCATCTTCTTGGAGATACCTGCTCATAGTGCTGATAGGCATCTAGGTGCCATACATTCTGGATGTTCTTACCAAGATTTGGTGGATTGTCTTATATAAATGTTTCTTCATTTACTATGTGCACTTAGAACCATGTCCAGAGGTTTGCAATACTTGCTTGTGAATAATGTTTGCCAGCTCCACCTGTGTTTCTGGAGATAGGCCCCCAGAGCGCCTCAAGCTGCTGTTCAGGAAGTGGAGCTCCACCGAGCAGTTCAGGCAATACAGCTATGAAAATGAAAGAAAGGAATAAAGAACTCTGCCTTTTACCCTGGAGATAGAGAGGAAGGATGGTATTAGAACTGGAGAGGAGGGGAGGGATAGTGTTGATATTTTTGTCTCATGTCTTAAAAGAAAGGAAGGCTGGACCTCCCACTCCCACCCCAATGTGGTGGCTGTATAGGTTCTGACTCCAGAACACKTTGGTTTTAACATCCCCATTGGGCTTGACACTCTCAGGGACATAGGCCTCTGGTCTCCATTTCATCTTTCTGTCATGTCTGAGATGCAGACAGCATGTCATGCAGATGTGTGACGGCCTGTCCTCTGCCTTTTCCTACAGGTGCTTGTAGTCCCCGAAGCCTTCATGTGGAAAGCAGAACGTGCGTGCAGTGTAGACTGGGCTCTCTTGGGGGCCACAGCACCAGGTGTTTTTTGAGTGGACACACTGCTTGACCTCGGTCTCTCTGCCCCCAGGGCCTCCTGTGCTGGCCATGCCTGTGCCTGCTGAGGGTACCCCACCACCTCTAAGTGGCACCCCTGTCCCAGTCCCAGCCTACTTCCGCCATGCAGAGCCTGGCTTCTCCCTCAAGAGGCCTGGGGGGCTCAGTCGAAGCCTCCCACCCCGGCCCCCTGCCAAGGGTAGCATCCCAATTAGTCGTCTCTTTCCTCCTCGGACCCCGGGTTGGCATCAGCCCCACCCCAGGAGGGTGTCATTCCGGAATGAGGCTTCAGAAACCCTGCAGAGCCCTGGGTATGACCCGAGCAGGCCAGAATCCTTTTTTCAGCAGAGCTTCCAGAGGCTCAGCCGCCTGGGCCATGGATCCTATGGAGAAGTCTTCAAGGTGAGGAAAGAGACGGGACAGTTCCCTAAGTCCATCTGTGGGACACTTTGCTTCCCTCTCCTCTCCTGGGCAGCCTGCTCCACTGTCCTCTTCTCTGCTTTTGTTTTGACTGCTTTCTCATAACCTCTATGCAGGGCCCTTTGAGGGTTGCCTGTGCACACTGGCTCCTTGTCCAGAGTCTGGCACAATCTGCAGTGCCCCTGGTTGCCATCTCTGCTGGATTCAGCTGTGCTGAGTTCCTTGGCAAGCACTACACAGCTCCCAGGGCTAGCCCAAGTACAGTGCCACCCTTCCCTCTGGCAGGCTTGAAGGCTACCCCCTGCCTGCCACTTTTTTTTTTTCCCTTAAAATACATTTTCTAATCATTTATATTTTCTCTAAAATGGTAGCTTTCTGAAGCTGGGCACAGGGGCACACGCCTGTCATCCCAGCAGCTCGGGAGGCTGAGGCAGGAGATCATGAGTTCAAAGCCAGCCTCAGCAACAGCGAGACACTAAGCAAGTCAGTGAGACCTTGTCTCTAAATAAAATACAAAATAGGGCTGCGGATGTGGCTTAGTGGTTGGATAACCCTGAGTTCAATCCCTAGTACCCCACCCCCTGCAAAATTAAAAAATGGTAGCTTTCCCTTGCACAAATACTATTTGAAGATAATTTTGTTATCTTTATTAAATGCAAGGAAAATAGTCCCCTGGACCAGATATCTTACCCAGAGGAAAGCTGTGCATAGCAGAGCAGGCTGCCCCTGTTCTGGAGCCATGGTTTCTACTTAGCACTGTGCTCTAGAGAATCTCCTGGGCCAGAGTCCATGGGTCTGCCCTGCCTCCTCCATGGCTGGGTCTCCAGCATATCACCATGTGCAGGCATCTCTCTAAGACAGATGTGTTGCCCCTCCACATGTGTGATATCTTAATAGCATCTATCAGTTGTGCCCCCACCCCACCTGCAGGCACTATTTCTCTTGCAGGTGCGCTCCAAGGAAGATGGCCGTCTCTATGCGGTCAAACGTTCTATGTCCCCATTCCGGGGTCCCAAGGACCGGGCCCGCAAGCTGGCTGAGGTAGGCGGCCACGAGAAGGTGGGGCAGCATCCGCGCTGCGTGCGGTTGGAGAGAGCCTGGGAGGAGGGCGGCATCCTGTACCTGCAGACGGAGTTGTGCGGGCCCAGCCTTCAGCAACACTGTGAAACCTGGGGTGCCAGCCTGCCCGAGACCCAAGTCTGGGGCTACCTTCGAGACACTCTGCTTGCTCTGGCCCACCTGCATGGCCAAGGCCTGGTTCACCTTGATGTCAAGCCTGCCAACATCTTCCTGGGGCCTCGGGGCCGCTGTAAGCTGGGTGACTTTGGCCTGCTGGTGGAGCTGGGTGCCACTGGAGCCAGTGAGGCCCAGGAGGGAGACCCCCGCTACATGGCCCCTGAGCTGCTGCAGGGCTCCTACGGGACAGCGGCAGATGTGTTCAGGTGAGGGCTAGGACATGGAGGGGTTGTGTGGCCCTTGTATGGCGGTGGTCAGCAGAGAAAGGGACTCCCTAGAAGAGGACCTCCATCCTGGCCCTAGGTCAGGAAGACATTTAGCCTCAGGCCTCAGAGATGCTGTGTCTGCCTTATAGCCAAGAGATCTCCTTGGCATGCTTCTTAAAACCAGCAAGCCCTTTGGAGTAGCTTCACTTAGCCTTGCCATATCCTTACATTTCTAAGTGAAGAATGRCTATTACTCTGGTACAGGAGGGAACAGTGCAGTGAGGTTAAGGGACTTACCCTGAATTCACAGTTAGCAGCGGGACTAGGCCCAGGCACTGGGTTCCAGTTTCATGCTGGCAACACTGCCCTGCCTCCAGCACTTGTATCTGACCATCTCAGCAGAATGAGGATGACATTAGTAACCTTAGAAACTCAGGTGCCCATCAGTGAGGTATTGGAGGACCATTACAGTAGCATGTTGGCTGCACTGGATGTAGGATTAACCCTTCACAACAAGGTCCCCATCCAGCCTGGAGCTCATCGGCCCTGCTGCAGCCGACTCTTAAGTCCCCACCCCTCTTTCATCACTTCCCTGGCTTATGGTAGAAGATAACAGCCCTTCCCACCCTCCAGTGGRATTGGGGTCTGTGTTCCAAAGTCAACTCTGTCCCCATCCTGTCCCCAGTCTGGGTCTCACCATCCTGGAAGTAGCCTGCAACATGGAACTGCCCCATGGTGGAGAGGGCTGGCAGCAGCTGCGCCAGGGCTACCTGCCTCCTGAGTTTACTGCTGGTGAGTGGAGGGCCCAGTGGCAGGCTGCCACCAGTTCCTATGGCAGGGAGTAGCTGGTGGTAGGGGTACTGCTGGGCTCAGGGCCCAGTCAGTGCCCTGGAATCTTTGACATKGCTTTGTCCAATGGGCAGGTCTGTCTGCTGAGCTGCGTTCTGTCCTTGTCATGATGCTGGAGCCTGACCCCCAGCTGCGGGCCACGGCTGAGGCCCTGCTGGCCCTGCCCATGCTGAGGCAGCCAAGGCCCTGGAACATCCTGTGGTGCATGGCTGCTGAAGCCCTAAGTCGAGGCTGGGCTCTATGGCAGGTAAGCTGCCACAGTGCCAGGCCATGTTACCTGACGCCCACCCCAGGACCTGCCTGGCTTCTTGAGGTTTCCTCTCCCCATAGGCTCTGCTCACCCTGCTGTGCTGGCTTTGGCACAGCCTAGCTCACCCTGCCAGCTGGCTGCAGCCCCCAGGTCCACCAGCCACCCCACCTGGCTCGCCGCCCTGCAGCCTCCTGGATAGCAGCCTCTCCAGCAGCTGGGATGATGACAGCATAGGGTGAGTGAGAGCTCCTACACCTGGAGTGGGCCCATAGTATGGGAGTCACAGCTTTGTCTATGTGAATTCAACTCAGTGAGTGGGGTGACTGCCATCCACAACACAGCTTCACACTGGTAAGTGGTAGGAAGGCCAGTGTACCTGCCAGGATAGGCAGGGGCACACCCACCCACCCCCACCTCAGTAGAGGCTGCAAGTGCCCAGGAACAGGGCATTTTCTTTCCCTGGATGAAGAAAAATCTCTTAGAGCCTGGCAAGTCCCCACTCTGAGAGGATGCCCTTAGTCTCAGGTGGCCAAGTGAGAGGCTGTAATTAAGAAACTCCTGCACAAGAAAGCTACATGCCCCAAATACACAGCTCTCGAAGGAATCCTTCCTTATAATAATGTCACCCTCACTCTGAGGGCACTTTGTAGCCCAAGGGAAGTGCCAGCACAGCTTCATTTACCAAAAGTTCACCTGAGATCCAGCTCAGCTAAAGCCTATATTCTGAAAATGAACAGAAATGGCCTTTGGGCACAGTCAGATGGGAGAGCTTGAAGGTTGTCCAAGTGTACCACATCTTTATGGTCCTGACTGTGGCCCTTATCCCTCCGTCAGGGCTAGAACCTGAGTGGGGTTGCTCTCCTACACTTCTCACCTCCTTGCTTGTTTTGCCTACCTTCCTATAGGCCTTCGCTCTCCCCAGAGGCCATCCTGACTCGGGCTGCCAGGAGTACTTCCACCCCCCGGGGCAGGTACACACCAAGGTAAGCAGGCCCCAGAGTTGGGGCTGGGCAGGGTTGGTTTTGGGATCCTGAGTGTCATTCTTCTTTTCTTACAGGGATGCCCTGGACCTAAGTAACATGGACTCAGAGCTTCCTCGGGGTTCCTGTCCCTCCTTTGAGCCTAGGAACCTCCTCAGCCTATTTGAGGACTCACTGGACCCAGCCTGAGTTGTAGGTCCAGCTTCTGTACTTTTAACCTCTTACTCCTTCCCTGACCCTTCCCCTGGAAAGCTGGGTCCCTTTGGGATCTACTGTGTCTAATAAAAAGTATTTGAATCTTGGGAGTACCCAAGCTTGCTCTAGTGGCAATAGAGCATTTTCTGTCCCTTTATTGATGTTGCCCAGGGTCTTGGGCTGCTGGGAGGATCCTGCTATGAGGCTGAGCCCTGCTGTAGCTCCCAGGGCCCCAGGCCTTGGCTCAGCAGACTGGCACCACACATTGTGTGGGATAGAGATTTCCTGAGTGGGCATGTTCCCAGCAGGCAGGGAGCCATCAGATCATGGCACTGAAGGTGGGGGCAGACCCTTAGCCCAGTGGGGCCTGGGTCCAGAGTCACTCACTTCATGTCTGTCTCTGTTAACTGGGAAAAGCAGCCACTGTCCTCATGTCCCTTGTCCAGCTGGTGCAAGAAGACCAGGGCCCACTGGGTCTTGGGAAAAGGGGCTGGTCCTGCTGCCCCAGACCCTTACTCCAGTCTTTAAATGGAGAAAGGTGGCAGGGCTTCTGGCTGCTGGGAGGCTGGCATGCAAGGCAGAGATGGAGGTCAGGAAACAGGGGCCAGAGGGGCTAGCCCAGAGACCTGTGAGGGCAGGATCGGGGGATGATGGGTCTGGGTTGGCAGGTGTGGCAAGTTTGCAGGACTCCAGCTGTCAGAACAGGATATAACCTTAGAGTCTCCCTGGCCCAACCCTCACAGGTAACAGAGGGTAAACAGGTCCAGAGAAGGAAAGGTTTCCTTGCAGCTGACACAGTACCCAGGAGGAAAAAGGCAGGGAGGGGAAGTTGGAGTTCCAAGGCCTGGGGGAAAGAARAGGTTAGTCCACAGGGAAGAATGAACAGACAAGGGCTCCCAACTGGGAAGTCTCAAGCGCTGTAAGCATCAAGGGAGCCAGCCCCTTGCAGACCAGAAGGAGGGAAGGTGGCATTATTGTTCCAGGAGGCTGTGGACAAGCTGGCGCAGGAGGCAGCTCAGTCTGGGGGACAGGCGTGGTGGGCAGCCCAGAGCAGGTCAGGCACAACACCGGCGTGCAGCTGTAGGATGGAGCCCACGCTGAGCAGATGCATGATCTGGTGGGAGTTGCCCCAGTAGTCGAAGCGGCCAGGCCCCCAGCGCTCTGGTAGGCGGGCCACATTCACCAGCCCTCCAAGCAGTGCCAGCGCATCCATGCGCAGATAGCAGCGCAGGGAACCTGGAGCCCCTGAGCCCAGCCCTACTGCACGGGCCCCAAACACCAGCAGACGAGCCCCAGCTTGCCAGCCAAAGGCTCGGAGTCGGGCACTGGTGGAAGGGGCAGTGAGGGCTCGCCAGCCGGCTATAGCAGACARCAGGGTGTAGCCCACCAGGGCAGCCGGGCGCAGCCAGGGCCTACAGACCAGGGTGCAGTGGATGATGGGCAGGGCCCCTGCAGAGAGAGAACAGGCGGTACATCAATCTGAGTCTGCTTTCCCTTCCCTACCCAGGGCTCATGCCCCTGCCTCCCCATCTCTAGGGCCCTGGCTCACCGAGGGTGTTGACGAGGCAGACTCCACACATATCAAGAGCAAGAAGCCGGGCGTACACAGAACTGCCCCCTTGGTGGCACATGAAGAGGTGATACAGCACAGAGGCGGCAGGGGGAACCAGGCAGGCCACACAGTGTGTGCCCCCCAGCCAGCTATCCTTTCCCAGCTGACTCCAGGGCATAGTCATTGGCACCAGCACCAGGAAACCCAGCAAGGCCAGCCCTGGGAGAGAGAAACAGTTATCCATCATACAGTTTGGGCATAAAAGTTGAATCACATCCCTAAGGAGATCAGTTTAGGGATGACACAAGAGGGGCAACAGCAGAACAGATCTGGGTGCTGCTGCCATCCACACAGAGGCAGGCCTTAGGCTATAGGCTTTTGGAAACCTACTATCATGGTTCACAACAACTTTGGGAAGTAGAGACTCTGAGCCCACTTTGCAGGTGAGGAAACTGAAGCTTGGAGGTCAAGTAACCTACTCCAGATGAGCCCAGCAAGTTGTATGGCTCTCAAGCTGCCCTCTCCCTTTAAGCTGGAGCAGGAGGCCCCCACGAGGCCTGTCTAGTCTACAGAAGCCTCAGGAGGCATCACCAGAGTTCTGAACAGAATATGTGGACACCACCAGCCCCAGGGCTACTAAGCTTGCCTCTTCCCAAGTGTCCACACAAACAGAGGCTTTGGGTCTTTTTATCTTCCAGAAAGGGGTGAGGCCAGGCAGGGCAAGGCAAGTCCTGAATGCTCAGGTGGGACTGAAAGGAGTTTGTCCCATCTCCTTCCCAAGTGTTTCCCAGGATCTCCATTCTTGCCAGCCCAAGCCCTTCTCTGGGATTACAAACCCTCTCCAAAGAAGATGGCATTGCCCTCAACTGGGTCAAACCAGAGCTCAGACTGCCCACTCTGAGTTGGGCCAGGCTACACAATAGCCCCCCACTAGGCAAAGGCTAACCCTGCAGGCTCCTGGCCCCTCAGCCCCAGGAGCTGCTCAAGGACAGCCAGGGCTGTGTCAGCAGAGCTCAGAGGGCTGCGGAGGAGGGCCCAAGTGCCTGCTGGGGGCGGGGGGGGGGGGGGGGGGGGGGGGGAAGGAGCTACCACCAGGCGGAGCCCCAAGACAGGGCTTCTGGGACTGGGGCAGAAGGGCTGCTAGGCCAGAAAGGGCTGGGACCGAGAACGCGGCCAGCTTTTCCCAGGCCCGTTCCTTTCCACAGTTAACATCCATCTCCAGGACGGGTGATGGCGGGGGAGGGTGCTCAGAGCACTAGGATTACGAAGGGGTCTGACACTAGGCTTCTTACCCCAGGGACAGAGCGGGATTAAGCAGTCCCAGCCCCCTATTCTGATCCCCTCGCCAGCCCTGGGGCCCCTGCTGGGAAAGAGGAAGCTGGCAGCCTGGCTCGGGACAATGGCAGCTTTGTCACCACGGTTCCAGGCCAAACCAGGGACGGGACAGACCAGGACCTAGGTGCTGGGGCACTCCTTGGCCTTCGGGTCCCGGGCAGTGAACCGCAGGGCGGCAGCGGGTGCGGGAATGCACGAAGTGGGGTGCGGCTCACCGTGTGTGTAGATGTTGCCCAGCTCGTTGTGCAGGTAGAAAAGGCTGCGCAGGCAGCCGGAGCCGCTGCTGGCCGGCCGGTAGCCGGTCAGCACGAACTTATTGAACTGCAGGTGCGGAGGTGAGCTGGCCCAGTCCAGCAGGCGCGGCCCGGACAGGAACGCCATGGCCCTGCGCAGCGCCGGCCGCTTGTGCTCCTCCTGTCCCTGGGTATCCTCCTTAGTGGGGCTGCAGCGCCGGAGAGCTCATCCCTGCCCGCCTCCCGGCTGCCGGGTCGCGCAGTGCTGGGTCAGCGAGCGCGCCAGCAGAGGGTCCGCGCCCCCTCGCGTCCCGCGTTGCGCACGCGCGAGCCTGACGCCCCCGCACCGGGGCGGAGGCTGGGAGACCCGGCACCCGAGCGCAGTGCGACCGGGTCCGCCCGGGTAGGCGCTCCGCAGGAATAGCTCCAGTTGGAGGCGGCGGCCGATGGCCTCGCCGCAGCTCGAAGGACGGGCGCGACCGGACGCGGGAGGGAACACCAGGCTCCGCCCCGGTTCCTCGCCCCCGTCAACCCTGCTGGTATTTCGCGCGCTGGATTCCTGACGTTGATGCTGCCAGGGCCAATGGGCGCGGCCAACGGGGAGGCTCCGCCCCGAAAGCGCCCAGGCCTTCTCTCTTCTTAGCATAATCTGTGGGGCTCCAGCCTCATTTGCATGTTTGCTTAGGACCTGACGGTTCTGGGTCCCGCGGGCTAAGCTGGAGTGACCAGGCATCTCGTGTCTCCCAGCACTGCGCACCCGGTTTTCCGCGTGACCCCCAAAATGTCGTACCTTTGAGTATCCACCCTCAAGTTCACAGCCCCACCARTCAGCCCCACCCTGCGGTCGGGGCTCTGTCCAAGGTGCTGCTGGCTCAGGCCCATTCGGGAGGTTCCAGACGAGCGCTGGCGCGTCCCCACTTTGGAGACGATCTCTCCAGTGGCCCCAGATACCCAAGCCTCGGAGGAGATGCGTGACGCACCAGGAGCCCTCGGCAAGGCCCGGATCTTCCGGCCAGGATTCTCTGAGCTTGGGCGAGGCCCAACTCACTCGCTATTATCGCTCACAAGGCGCACCCTCGGCCCAGCCCAGGCCAGGTAGGAAACTGTAGAAAACAAGGCAGGAGGCAATGGGAGAAAGGTCGGCTCCTGCTCCACCACCTCAGGGGCGGGAACCAGGGAGAAGCTCCTTTGTCAGGCATATCTTTGCCCAACGTCAGTCTCTGTCGCCCACTCTTCTGCAGGGCACCGCCCATCCATCCTCGGTTCCTCCTCTCCCTTYCAGAAGGTTCTGTCAAACTCTTGGCATGACGCCATGCAATCCTGATTCCTGAACTCTCATTAACATAGTCCCTTCCACCATTTAAAACTTGCCAAGGCCTGTACCAAAATAGGACCTTTATTTAAAGTCAGTGATGGACCTCTTTGAGACAGGAATTTGGGTACATATGGAGGAGATAATGATTATCAAAGGAAGGGCCCATGCAGAAAATGCCCATGAATCATTGCCACTCCTGACCAACCCAGGCCATGCCCTCGACCCATGCCTTTACCTACAAAAAAGTTACAGAAGGGTGAAGTGCAAGTTTCAGAAACACTAGAAATTGTGTAACTCCACCCTGCATCCATCTCTAGTCAGACCCCTAGCAATTGCTCCTATATAAATATTAACCCCAACATCAAGAAGTTGTTGTCACTCCTCTGGACATGGCTCACTTCTCCCCTGAATGCCTCTCTGCTTTCCTAAATAAACATTTTTGTGTCTCTAGCACCTGCTGAAATTCTTCTACTACAACATGTTCATCAAGGACCCCACTTGTCCTGAGTCCATGTCCCTTCTCCAGAACGCCTCCAAATGCCAGTGACATTTTGACTACTTTTTTTTGACTTCTAACCTCTCACTGAGGGCAGCAATCCAAGATGACCCTAGGAGGGTCTCAGAGACTCCTAAAAACAGAGACTACCTCCCACATCAAGATCTATGGGTTGGTGAGCTGGACCTAGAGGTTCAGGCCAAATACCCAGAATAGAACAAGATGCTTCCTGTCCGATTTCTGGTCTCCTTGGAATGACCAGAGACCAAGCTGCCTTTGAAGTGGCAAAAGGCCGAGGTAGAATGTGGCATAACGTCTYGGATATCCGTCTCACTGGCAGAAGGTCCGATGGACCTTGGGGGTCCGAAGTCAGAGAGCAGAGATGAGCGAGCGTAAGGAGCTCTGGCTGGAGGCACTCAGGGGCTGATAGCCGGTGGCAGGACCCTCTGCCTGGGGGTCCCCAGGAGGACAGGGTAGCGCCACCCCTTGGGGCCGGCGGTACCACACAGCCCAGCTTCTCCCGGCGCCCCGGGAAGGTCCCAATGCCGGGGGCCCTTTTCCCGGAGCCAGAACACAGCTCCTAGAGAGGGAGCAGACATCAGCTGGACCCCGACCCAATCCCACCTCCAGCATCCTGCTCTGCCTGCGACCCCACGCTCAACTCTAGGTGTGGACCCAAGGTCTTGCCCGCTCTAGAACCTGGGAATCCCTTCTTAGTTCCCCTCTGGGGCCCTAGCTCCCCACCGGGGCTCCCGTGCCCTGGTGCACCAAGGTGTCAAGCGCCTGGTGCGGGGGTCCGCCCTCAGGCCCTGCCCCAGCGCCCGCACCGTCGGCGCAGCAGACGCAACAGAGACAGGAGCAGCAGCAGCAGCACAGAGACGGCCGTCACCGTTGAGAAGACCCGGGCTGCGGGCACACGGGTGCAGTGAGGACAGGGCCCAGAAGGGCCACTCCCTGATTCCCTCCCGCCTCTCATGCCCGCCTCACCCCCCATCGCAGCCTGTGGGGCTCCGGGCCTAGGGCTGCAGCTCACGTTGGCCCCCTCGGGGGGTTCTGCGGGCGTCTGGGCCGAGCCCTTGGGGGGCGTGCGGTCCTCTGTAGCGTCCTGCAGCCCTGCAGAGAGGAGTGTGAGGCGGGGTGGGGGTAAGAGGGCGGGGGTAGGGAGACCGGGACCCAGCTCACCGCGGTAGGTGAGCGCGAAGCCCTGCGCGTGGCCGCGCGCATCGCTGCTGAAAGTGAGCAACAGCACGGCTGCACGCAGGCGCAGAGGTCCAGGCGGAGGAGGGCGGGAGCCGTCAAAGGTGCGGAGCAGGCTGCCCGAGGCGGCGTCGCGCAGCTCCAACCGGTCACGCGGGTCGGCCAGCTCAAAGAGGCGGAAGGTGAKCTCCAAAGCGGCACCGGTCGGGCCCAGCACCCAGCTGCAGTTCCGATCTGGCCCATACTCGTCGGGAAAGTCCGGCGAGTAAATGACACCCTGAGGCGCAGTCCAGTTTCCCTGACAGGAGCCCACCGACACTGCAGGCAGGGATTACTGTCAGGACCCTGAAGCCAGTGGCTTTTCCTTTACCGCTCGGAGTTCCCCGCCAAAGTTCGTAGCAAAGCCCAGCTGGGCCTAACCCCAGGCCACTTACTCAAGAGGCCCCGCCCCMAATCCAGGCCCTGTCCAATCTCCTTCCGTCCACGCCTTCCACCAATACATTTCAGGTCTGGCTCTCAACTCCCAGGCTCAGCCCCGTCCCCTTTTCGGGGTCCAATCCTCAATCCCTGTTCTTCCTCAGGCCGGGACACCAGCCTAGCGATCCCCTTTCCCAGATTCTGCCCCTATGAGGGCATGACACATCGGGTCCCACCTGGTCTCTTCCCCTCACCCAAGTCCCCCACCCTCGAAGCCATATCCACACCTAACCTTCATAGATGCCTAGCCGTCCATCACCGCCACACAGCTGGCCCGGGTGGCCAAAACAGATCTGGTCACAGTCCGTAGCGGGAGCAAGGCGTCCCCGGGCCAGGTCGCTTTCAGAGCCACAGAAGCAGGCATAACCAGCCTCCACACCAGCCAGCTGGGAGCATAGACTGAGTAACCCAAAGGCAGGGATGGGGTAGGAGTGGAGTGCTGGGGTCAGAAGTAGGAATCAGGCTGGCGGTTCAGAACCAGTATTAGGATTTGGCGTCAGAGTGTTGGGAGTTGAGTGGGGTCCTGAGGTCAAAGTCAGGGTTACTGGTCTGGGCTTGTCAGCAGTACCTGGTAGCCCTTCATGCGGCAGAAGCGAAGGCACACCTGGACAGTGAGCTTCGTGGAGGTGCCACTGGGACCACTGAGAGCTGGGGGTGCACCAGAGTCTACAAAGCATCCCAGGTAGCCAGGCACTGAGGAGAAAGCAGAGTCAGAATACCATCCCTGAAAGCGACCCTCCACCCAGGTTCCTCAGAACTCCCACCTCTGTCCAGCTGACCCACTCACTGTGACATGTGGGAATGTCACAATAGCGCCAGTAGATGCCCTCCTCAGTTTCAGCTACATAGCACCATGGCTGCACATCACCATCGGGGTTCCTGCAGGTGTGGGGGGTAGTGGTCAGGATCCCACGGCCCTGCCCCATCACCTGTGAGCAATGTGCCCACTAAGGCTCTGTGTATGTTGGAGGCCATGGCCCTGCCCCATCACCTGTGAGCAATGTGCCCACTAAGGCTCTGTGTATGTTGGAGGCCATGTTCCTTTCTGTTATCACACAAATTCTTGTTTTCTCAACGTGCTTCTGGACGTCAACTTCTTAGATGACGGTGGGGTGTCATTAAAGGACCCTTGAGGGCTGTTTTCAGGTCTTTGGCTGCGCCCAGGACTTAACCTCCTACGTGAGAACTTTGCTGTGGGTCTTGGCCATTTCCCTCCCTCAGAACCCATCTTAAAAGTAGAAGTGTGGAGCCCTAAGCTTTGCGGATTAACAGAGAAGTGGCTCCTGTTCTGTCCCTGTGGCTCCAGACTGCAGCTGTCGCTCTGAATTCCTATTTCCCCATCATCAAGCGTAGAGGCAAGAGTCTGACCCATCACCCCAGGGCCTTCCTCTGGCCAGACCCCACTCACACTAACCCTTCGAGTGCTCTTCCTGATCTGAAGTTTTGCAGAAGTAAGGCACCTAAGTCCGACTCCTCTAGTGAAAAAATACTGTGCGCCCAGTCTTCCCCAAGTACAAGAGAGGCCATGCGCTTCGCGGTGGCTCTGCCCCTAGTTTGTCCCCGCAGACCGTGTGTTGGCCGCGCAGACCTCAGCTCCGCCCACGCGGAGGCCCCGCGTCAAGCCACCTCCCGCAGCAGAGTCCCGCCTCCACTGCTCACSGGCCACGCCCCTCACCGGCAGAAGTTGTGCGCGCCCAGCCCCCAGCGGCCCTGGGGGTCGCTGGAGCTACTGTAGCTGTGCTGCTGCGTCTGGTCCCAGAAAAGACACGGGCGTCCAGCTCCTCGAGGACCGGTGTGGTTCTGGTGACCGCGGTAGTCGGCGCCATTCACCTGGAAGCACTCGGACAAGCCTGCCCGGCAACCGCGGGACATGGGGAGGTCGGGACCTTCTCCGGACATCCTCATCATCCGACTCCAGCTCCCGCCTCGGTCCCCAGGCAGCACACCCAGCGCCCGCCCCCGCGGGGGCCCTCGGGCTGCTCAATTGCTCCAGCCACCTGCTCTGCCGCCTCCCCAGCTTCGGGGCCCCAGCCCTGGGCAAAGAGGCCGAGGAGGGAGCGGTGACCATGTCTTGGCCGCCGTGCCTGACTCACCTGGACTGTACAGGCTTACTGCCGAGGCCCCGCGCAGCGGCAGAAGCGGGAGCAAAAGGAGGAAGAGACCCTGCAGGGCCTGTGTCCCCATGGCCCCCAACCGGATAGAGATCACCCTGGCCCACCCCCGGACGAACTCCGGGGTCTCCCGGCGACCTGGGGGACGTTTTCCTCCAACTGTCAGTCCTTGTCTCGCTCTGGACGGCGCACTCGGTCTCTGGCGGGGAAATGTCTCCCTGAGGTCCTCGTGTCTCAAGGTCTCTGCTCCTTGGAAGTGTCTCTGCCCGGTCCCTCCCTTGGGGTCTCTCCGTGGATATCTGGCCGCAGGCGTTCTCTGTCTCTGCTTCTTTTTGCTCTGGCTGGTGCCTGGGCCTCCACACCCACCTTTCTCGCTGTGCCTGGCTCTYCGCTTCTCCTTCGCCCAGGTCTCTAACGCGCCGGCTCCTGCCCCTTTCGCGTCCCTCCTCGGGTTCCTCCCTACCCCCTGAGGGAGGACGGGAAGCCCCGCCCGGGACTGGAGCGCAGGCAGCAGGTCCAGACGCCTCCCACGCCCGCCCCCCGGGACCCCCAGCGTCCCAGAAGACGCCTCCCGGCCCCTCCCCTCTCCTTCCGAGGGTGGGTGCGGGTTCTAAAGGGAGGACGTGGAGGGGGACAGGCTGGGCTAGCAGAGGACCCTAAAGGGGAAGATACAAGACCCGCTCCCGCGGCCGCACGGAGTCCGTGGGTCCCAAGCACCCTTATTCAAATGTACACGCGTGCTSTCATTCGGTCACCCATTCATTGTCGCGCTCACTCGCACACCTTCTCCCTCCCCAGATCCCGACGCTACTGGCTCCAAGGAGGAAGTGCCACTCCCTGCCCCCMGCACCCGCGAGACAGACTGGAATCGTGGACGATCGGTCCCGGACAGGCAGGGGCAGCTGGTGTCTGGGGAGGAAGGCAGCTGCGCCCCTGGTCACAGCCCGCCCTCTCTCTTCCTCCTCTCCCCCCCTCCTCCCTAGGACCCCAGCCCAGGCTCTCCCGTGCTTTCACTGTGCGGTGGAATTCCCCCAGCGGTGCCCCCCACCTGGCGAGGGAGGGGGAGGGTAGCAGGCCCGGGCAAGCGTGGGGGGAAATTCCCCGCCCCCTCCCCCTAGGCCCGACTCCTCCGAGTCCTCTGATCTCCCAGAGCCGCCTGCCCGCTGCCCCCGGGGCTTGGGGGGAGGCCAGCGCAGGTGCGTGGGAGGGCGGAGGCGGGGTGGTGGTGATGGAGGGTGGGGGGCGGGGGACCYAGAGCGGCCACGCCTAGCCCAGGCCCCTTGTCCATCAGTCCAGCTTGCTTACCCCTCGTCAGGCCCTCAAAGGCGGACGGGCCCAGATGGACACATCAGGTCCTGGCTAGCCCTTGCCTCGCGTGCAGTCCCCAGTCCCGCAGCTGGACAAGCAAGTGGACGCGGGGGTGGGGGGCGCTGGGAAGATTCTGCAAGGYCGAGGTGCCCATGGCAGTGGTCCAACCCGCGGAGATCTTACAGTTAGCGCCTCACTTGAAGGCTCTTCAGATGGGGGCACATCAAGACGGGGACTGTTTCAAGAAGGAAATGGCTTTGCTGAGACTGTAGGCCAGGGCCGGGTGTGCCTCCTCAGGGAGCTCTCTCAGTGGTCAGGTTGGCTGGGGCTGAGATCGCCCTCCGGTGCTGGCTGGGTGCTGGAAACCCCTTGACCCCACTAAGTAGGGAGCAACCAGGAGCTACCAGTRGAACCGGGTTTCCCTTTTCCCTCCTGCCTGAGAGCCGGGGACATCGCTCCGTTGCAAAGAAGGTTGGGCGAGTGGCCAGGCGGAGGAAGAGGTGATGTGGGGGGCTGGGACAATGGGACCCCACGTGTGGAACAAGGAATATGGAAAGGTTGGGGGCAGGGAACAGACCCCTCTAGTCAGGACCCTAAGCCTAAAAGAAGGGTCCCGGTGCCTGTCTCCTGCAAAGAGGACAGGAAAGGGAAGTGGTGCTCAGTTCAGAGGTGCAGGGCACTGAGATGGTGTACCCTCACCACAAGTTCCAGTTTCAGGTCACAGTGGTGGATCCTTCAAGAACTAAGAGAAGCCTCCTCCCGGCATACCATCCCTTTCCAAGCCTTGGGCACTCAGCACTCTGCAARCAGTGGCCTGTCTGTGCTCCCAAGGCCCTGGGGAGGGGGTGTTGGATGTTTGCATGTCCCCACTCTGCGGGCCCACTGCTGGGGCACAGAGGTCCTTGAGAACTTGGCTGTTTCCGACTATAAAGTGTTGAAGCTAGGAATCAAACACTCTTTTCAATGTAATCCAATCCCGGGGAGCTGGTGCTGACCCCATCCCACACTGCTTTGGGGGTTYCTGACTCTGCAGGGAAGTCTGGGTACAGAGAGACATCAGCTCCTTCTTGTCTTTGCTTGGGAGTTCCACTGCCATTACAGCAGCCCTGTTTTAAACTGAGGACCTGAAGCAGGATCTCCAGCAGCCCATTTCACCGAAGGGGAGACTGAGTGAGACCAGGGAGGGGTCAGCCTAAAGTCACCAAGGCATGACATCCTAATTCTTGGTATAAAGCGGGTGCAGCCTTGGCTTGYCAGTTCCCTGAGGAGTGGATTCCCAGGCACAGATCTGCCATGTGAGGGCAGTAGAGAGAAAGGAGCCTAGTACTTGAGTGTGGGTGGGTGGAGAGAGTCCCAGATGCAGGTGGGCCTTGCCCTCCCTTCCCCTGGGGCATGTGATGCCAAGTTCACCAGGTCCAGTGGGGAAGATGGTGTAAAGGTAGGGGACATTGTGTAAGAGGAGGAATTAGGTGCCCCCAGGAAGGAGAGGGGCAGGCTCAGCTTTGACCCTCTTAAGGGACCCCCCCACACACACCTCATTGGAGCTTAGCCCTTTTCCGCCTGGAGGGCCAGTCAGCAAAAGAGTGGACTCCAGTGTGGAGTCAGAGTGCCTGGGTTCTACCCAGGGGCTACTCAGTGGTCCTTGTCCCTTCAACTTTTTATCTTTGCAGTGGGGATAGTGTTCCCTTTCARGCCAGCCCTCATGGCAGGGCACATCACAGCTACCAGGAAGAAAGAGGCACTGAAGCTGGGCACAGTGGCACATGCCTRTAATCCCAGTGGCTCAGGAGGCTGAGGAAGAAGGATCACAAGTTCAAAGCCAGCATCAGCAATTTATGAGGCCCTAAGCAACTTAGGGAATCCCTGTCTCGAAATAAAATTAAAAAAAAAAAAAAAAGAGCTGGGGATGTGGCTAAGTGGTTAAGCATCTCTGGGTTCAATCCCTGGTACAGAGGGTGGGGCAGAGGAAGAGAGGGTAAATTAGTAAGGGAAGGAGATTAGGGATCTTGACAGGCAGAAAGTTCTAAGTTGACCCCTGGAGACTCCTGCTTCTGGGTGTCCACATTGTTCCATGAGCCCCCAACCAGGAATRTGCATGGACCTGTGAAAACATGGGATGTCTCTCCTGTGATTGGGTCATGTTATATGGCAATGGTGAAGGGACTTTTGCAGATGTAATTAAGGTCTCTAATCAGTTGTCATTGAGTTCATCAAAAGGGAGATGGGGGTGGCTGCTGTGGTTACACCAATAGTCCCAGTCACTTCAGAGGCTGAGACAGGCGTATCATTTGAGCCTAGGAGTTTGAGGCCGGCCTGAGCAGCATAGTGAGACCTCATTTCAAAAAAAAAAAAAAAAAATAGGCCAAGGTGGGCTTGACTTGATCAGTGGGCCTTCGAGAGTCTGGAGCAACAGAGATGTTCCTCTGGCAGCTAGAGGAGCTGCTAGGCTTGAGGTCCTGGCTGCATACAGTCACAAGAGCTTAGGAGGGGACTCTGGGCTTCAAATGAGCCCCCAGCCCTGCTGCCTCCTTGTAAGGCTCTGAGCAAGGACTCTGCTCAGCCCTCCCAGTCTACCAAAACTGTGAAATAATCATGAAGGTTTTTTTTTTTTTTTTTTCTTTTTGGCTCTGGGGATTTAACCAAGGGGCACTTACCCACTAAGCCCCATCCCCAGCCCTTTTTATTTTTTATTCTGARACAGTATCATTTAGTTGCTTAGGGCCTTACTAAGTTGCTGAGGCTGTTCTCAAACTTACGATCCTACTGCCTCAGCCTCCCAAGCTGCTGGGATTAYAGGCATGTACCACCAAACCTGGCTAAAAGGGCATTTCAAGCGGCTAAATTTGTGGTAATTTGTTCTGCAGCAGCAGAGTGTGCTGAGTAGSACAGAGGTGGCAGGGGCAGTGCCTCAAGGAGAGCCTGCTCAGCCCAAGGGGCCCAAAGGTCCTGCTCATCAGCAGCCAGCTAGGTGCACTGTCCCTCAAGACTGCACCCTGCTGGTAGGTGGTGGAGCTGGGCCTATTGGAGCCCTTAACATGGGACTTCAGAATGCGGACAGGAGTCTGTCTCCTCCTTGGGGAGCTGGATGTCTTCCATTGGCTGGGGAGGCCAAGGTGGCACTGAAGGAAGGGTTAGGCCCAGCAGGGGGAGAGGAAAGCAGTCTGATTGGACCTCAGTGGCTTCAGGTCCATGGCAGCATCTGTGGCACGGGGGCCTTGGCAGTCTCTAGATATCCCCTTGGGTAAATCTGGCTTTGGGTCCAGGTAGTCACGTCTGATTGGGAACCAGGGAGGAGCCCTGGGGCAGGTGTAGTGTGATGGGATTTGCATTTAGAAAGCCCCTAACCCTGCTGTGGGGATAGTTTATAGAGAGGGATGCTGGAGGCAAGGGTGTGTGTAGCGAGGCTGGGGCCCCGGGGAGAGTTGGAGGCTGAGAGATGGACATGATTAATAGAGGGACCTGCTGGGTTCTTCAATCCTTGTAGCCCTGCACAGGACAGAGGAGCCTTCTTCAGCCAAAGAACACACCAAGGAGAAAGAGGAGGACTAATGGGTGGGCTGCTGCTTCTCTCTTTTTTTTGGGGGGGGGTACTGGGGATTGAACTCAGGGGCATTGGACCACTGAGCCACATCCCCAGCCCTATTTTGTATTTTATTTGGAGACAGGGTCTCACTGAGTTGCTTAATACCTTGCTGTTGCTGAGGCTGGCTCTGAACTCGCAGTCCTACTGCCTCAGCCTCCCGAGCTGCTGGGGTGACAGGCGTGTGCCACCACGCCCTGCTTTTCCTCTTTTCTTTTTTCCAGCACTGAGGATGGAAACCCAGGCCTTACACTATGTGAGATGATTGCTTTGCTACNCCCTGCACAGGACAGAGGAGCCTTCTTCAGCCAAAGAACACACCAAGGAGAAAGAGGAGGACTAATGGGTGGGCTGCTGCTTCTCTCTTTTTTTTTTGGGGGGGGGGTACTGGGGATTGAACTCAGGGGCATTGGACCACTGAGCCACATCCCCAGCTCTATTTTGTATTTTATTTGGAGACAGGGTCTCACTGAGTTGCTTAATACCTTGCTGTTGCTGAGGCTGGCTCTGAACTCACAGTCCTACTGCCTCAGCCTCCCGAGCTGCTGGGGTGACAGGGTGTGCCACCACGCCCTGCTTTTCCTCTTTTCTTTTTTCCAGCACTGAGGATGGAAACCCAGGCCTTACACTATGTGAGATGATTGCTTTGCTACTGAGCTACACCCCCAGCCCGTAGAGCTGCTTCCCAGARTGATGACAACGTTCTGGAAGTAGGTAGAGGTGCCATGAAATTGCACACTTTGGGTGAATAGCATGATATGTGAATTATATCTCAATAAAGTTGTTGAAAAAGAGCAAGGCAGGTGGCAGGCACTGACAATGGATGGGATGTAGGGACAGGCAGGGCAGTGTTGAGGACTGCTCCAGGTTCCCACTGATGTATTTATGCCATCAAGAGACCAGAAACACAGTCCTCTTGCTGCCCATGCTGCTGCTGCCCCCAGGAGATCCTGGGGCAAGGCCCAGAGGCAGTTTGCAAAAGACGGCCAGACTRGGACTGCAGATTGACAGTGACCTCTGGGAGTGGACATGCTGACAACAGCTGAGTTCCAGCAGCACCTCACTATGTTGCCCACACTGGCCTCCAGCTCCTGGTTTCAAATGACCCTCCCTCAGCCTCCAACTCTCCCCGGGGCCCCAGCCTACACACACCCTTGCCTCCAGCATCCCTCTCTATAAACTATCCCCACAGCAGGGTTAGGGGCTTTCTAAATGCAAATCCCATCACACTACACCTCAGCCTCCTGAGTAGCTGAGATTAGAGGCATGTGTCATTGAACCCAGCTAACTTTTTACTTTTATTTTTTAAATTTTTAAAAATTTATTAGGTGTAGATGGACATAATAACTTTATTTTTAATTTTTATGTGGTTCCAGGGATCAAACCCAGTGCCTCACGTATGCTAGGTAAGCKCCATACCACTGAGCCACAACCCCGGCCCACTTTTTATTTTTGATCCATGAGGCATATCATGCCATGGGGCACAGAGACACTGGTGCCCCATGGTGCTGAGGGAGCCCTCAACAGAGCTAGGGCAGGGTATAGAGGTGGCCAGATAACTGCTGCTGTCTGTTAAGGCCTGGCTAAGCTGCATGATCCATAACCAGGAGAAGTATTTGCGGTGTGCTTTGCTCTGTAGCAGGGGACATCTCTGTGGCTCTGGAACCATGGAGGAAGTGAACTTAAGAGAGGGAAGGTTCTGGGCTGGGGTCGTAGCTCCAGGGTAGAGCTCTAGCCTAGCATGTGCGAGGCACTGGGTTTGATCCTCAGCACCACATAAAAAATTTAATAAAGGTATTTTAAAAGGGGGGTGGTTCTGGAGATCAGGGGTGACAGCCCTTGTAGATGAGTGACCTCTGGGCAGGGGTGGGTGGCCCATGAAGCTGCTCTGGGCCACAGCCACATGCAAGTCCATGTCCTTCTGGGAGTACTCAATCTGTGCCACCTGGGCTGTCTACCTGGCCTTTAAGGTCAAACCAGCCCTCGCCAGCAAAGTGGATGTTTAGAAATGGGGAGAAGCCGGTGTTCCTTCTCTAACTTTGCTCAAGCCTCATGCTGACTTATGGGTGTCCAAAGCCCAGCCAAGATGACAGGGCTGCATGTGACATGCAACTAGACTCCACTGTGGAGGCTGCAGAGCTGACAGATGGCAAGGCTCTGCAGGAAGCCATAGCTGCTGTGCCCCTTGGTGCTTCTCGCGGGGCACTGTAGGCCTGTGTGGCGCTAACCTTCTTTGGTGGAACTGACTGGAGGTGCAGCTGGCGCAGCAGCAATGGAGCTGTCCGTGCCTCCCTGTGGTGGTGGCGCCTCCCACAGGGTGCACAGAGTACAGGATGCAGAGGAGCCGGCTCCAGCTGCTCTGTCCATTTCCTCAGAGCCCAACTCCAGCTGCTAGCAATTCACTTAGCCTTGAGTGCCCGAGATGTAGCCACTGGGCTGGGTGTTCACGGCTGACTGGCAGACAATGGTGACATTCTGGGAGGTGGCTGCAGTGTCACTGGACAGCCTTCTTGACTGGTAGCAGACCTGGAAAGTGGGGACCCAGAGGCGCTGGCAGTTGAGGTTAGGTAATGGGCTGGAGTGACAAAGGGGTAGCCACCTGACCAGAAGGGAGTCAGGGTGAGGTGCCACTCCCACTCCAATCTTGCCCTTGTTTATGCAGATGAGTGCAGGGGGGGGGGCTCAGGCTGAGGGGCGGGGCAGAGAATCAAGCCTCTCAGTAGCTTACTCTATCAGGGCCTGGAAGGCCATAGGTGCTGCTCTGTCCCCTGCGGGCTGGAAAGAGACTCCTCAGCAGCCCCCTCCTGAGATTCCCACTCCAGGCCCCCCATCTGCTCTTGGTCCAGGTCACATCCAGCCCAGTTAGCCACCACTGCACAGGCAGGGAGTCTTCCCATGGGGAACTTCCCTACCAAACCCATCACTTCCCAAGCATGCAGTCCTAGACTCTCAGAGTGTGTGGCTTTGTGGTGGCCAGCTGTTGTCACAAGAGGACAGTGAAGCATAAAATAGGGTTTATTGAGGGAAGCAGATGGGCAGAAGGCCAGTGGGGGCACCAAGCTGTCACTGTCTAACAGTGGGTAGCACCTCTCTGGCCAGCTTGCCAGCCAGGGGAGCCTATTATGGGGTGGGGGCAGGGACCTGCTGTGCAGGGTCTCTARCACGCAGGGGGCTCTCACTCCCCTGTGGGTGTCAGTGTGCCCTCCTAGGACACTCACTCAGTCCCGCAAGGCTGGCAGCTATTAAGCTCCCCAACAGGAGGAGGGGACACACCTTGCCACCACCGAACTCTCATCACCTAACTTCAGGTGAACGTGAGCAATCCAGGGCAGCACTGCTGTGGCCCGGACACATTGGCCTGCTCCAGCTTCCTGCCACATCTGGGCTGGCCCCCACTGCCAGGAATGACACCTGCCACGGGAGTCATGAGCATGGGTTTAATTCAAGCTGGAAAAGAGCACAGGAAGGAAGGCCAGCGAGCCCTGGCGGGGCCTGCTCTGCAGTGGTTATAGAGGGCCACGCCCCAGTGGGAAAAGACCAGGAAGGCCTTCCAGAAAGACCTGGTGTGGCTTGCATGGGTCTTTGGAGGGTGGGTGGCTCAGCTGGAGGGAATGGGACTTCCTGCACGTGCTCTGGCTCAAGGCCACTTCACCTTTCTCTTGAACTCAAATGGGGGCCACACCCTGCTGGAAAGTCCTTGGCACAGTCACAGGCTCTGAAGATGAGCAGCAGCAGGGCAGGCGTGGCCTCTGGAGGTGCTTCTCCAGAGCTGAGGAACCTAAACCCGGGGGCGGGCGCAGCGGCTGCCGTGCTCTGCCTCACCTCTGGGCACTTGTCTGCTGACACAAGTGCCCCTTCCCAGGATGCCTYTGAGGAAGTGTGAAGGCCTTCCATGCTTCAGAAGAGGGAGACAAGTTTTTGTCAAGCAAATCTGAGTGGATGGGAAATGCCTGCGTGGACAGGGAGCATCTGGGTGCCAGCAGCCTCTGACAGGGCTCCTGCTCTGCCTCCGTGGAGATCCACCTCACTGGGACTCACTGTCCGGCTTTAAATCTTCAGTGTTCCTGATAATGAAGAAACCCACATCATTACAAAGGTTGGAGCAGGGTGTAAATAGAYAAGAAAGCTAAAGAGTCTTGGAATCCTTTTTTCCTAGAGAGAACCATTAGCTCGTTTTTGTACACCCACCCACACACAGGTCAGGGCGTTGCACACACGAGTTRTTCTATCAAGAAATATCCCAGCCCAGAGTTCAATTTTTTTTTCTTTTTGAGGTGCAGTGTTCTTTTGGGGGGACGGAATCAGGGCCTCACTCACATAAGGCAAGTGCTCTATCACTGAACTTATCCCCAGCCCCAGTCCCAGGTTTTTTATTGGGGTGCTCATACAGGGACTTTCTGCCTGGTTGATTGACTGCTGTCACTAAAATCTCACCCTCTCAGAAGTAGGTGTTCAGTAAAAATCCCAGGTACAGCTGGGCGTGGTGGTACATGAGTATGATCCTAGTTACTTGGGAGGCTGAGGCAAGGGGATTGCAAGTTCAAGGCCAGCCTTAGCACAGGGAACTGCTTCTGGAGCAGCTGTTCCAAAGGCAGGAGTCTCGGACCTACAGCTTTAAGAATGTTCTGCACCTTCTGTGTTATATTAATTGGCTTTTTTATGTTAAGCCAAGTTTATATTCCTGAGATAAATCTCCCTTGATCATAATGTATAATCCTTTTTTATTTTGAGGATTCTGTTTGCTGGTATTTTATTGAATATTTGCTTCTATATTTCTTTTCTTTTCTTTTTTTTTTAAAGAAAGAGTGAGAGAGAGAAAGAGGGAGAGAGAGAGAGAATTTTAATATTTATTTATTTTTTTTAGTATTTAACAGACACAACATCTTTGTCTATATGTGGTGCTGAGGATCGAACCCGGGCCGCACGCATGCCAGGCGAACGCACTACCGCCTGAGCCACATCCCCAGCCCTGCTTCTATATTTCTAAGAGATACTGGTTTATAGTTTCTTGTGATATCTTTGCTTACTTTTGGTATCAGGGTAATACTGGTCTTTTTTTTTTTTTTAAAGAGAAAGATAGACATTTATTTTTTAGATTTCGGCAGACACAACATCTTTTGTTGGTATGTGGTGCTGAGGATCGAACCCGGGCCGCACGCATGCCAGGCCATCGCCCTACCGCTTGAGCCACATCCCCAGCCCCAATACTGGTCTTATAGAATGAGTTAGGAAGTGTTTTCTCCTCTATTGGAAAGAGATTATGAAAATTCCTCCTCCTCCTCATCCTCCTCCTCCTCCTCCCAGTACTGGGGACTGAACCCAGGKCATTGCACATGCTAGGTAAACACTCTACCACCAAGCTACATCCCCAGCCCTTTTTATTTTTTATTTTGAGATAGGCTTTTACTAAGATGCCTAAGCTGGCCTTGAACTTGCAGTTGTGCCTCAGCCTCCCAAGTAGCTGAGGTCACAGGCATGACCACCACATCCAACAAGATTTGTGAATGTTGTTGATCCTTTCAAACAGTCAATTTTTGGTTTTATTATGTTCCTCTATTATTTTTCTTTTTAAAAAATTTTTATTAGTTATTGATGGACCTTTATTCATTTATTTTGTTTATATATGGTGCTGAGAATCGAACCCAGTGCCTCACACTTGCTAGGCAAGTGCGGTACCACTGAGCCACAGCCCCAGCCCTATTATTTTTCTATTCCTTATGTCATTACTTTTTTCCTAATCTTTATTTTCTCCCCTTTGCTTATTTTAGATTTCATCTTCTCAGGCTGGGATTATGGCTCAGGGATGAAGCACTTGTCTTGCACATGAGAGGTACTGGGCTCGATCCTCAGCACCACATAAAAATAAATAAATAAAGATACTGTGTCCAACTGTAACTAAAAAAATTTTTTTTTAAATTTCAACTTCTTGGCTTTTTTTTTTTAGTATATCAACATGGAGGTTTAGGTTGTTGACTTGAGATCTTTCCTCTTTTTAAATGTAACTTTATAAAATTTTTTTTAAAAAGGCACCATAAAAAATAAAATAAATAAAATATAACTTTGTAGCTATAAATTGTCCTCTAAGAACTGCTTTTGGTGCATCCCAGTGACATCCTTTCTTCAACCTCAGGTGCCTCCCCACCCTGAGTCAGAACTACCAGCCCAACTACACCCACAACCTGTGAGGATCCACCAGAAGCTGTGAGGACCTCCAGGTTTTGGGGAGATTTGCAACATGACATCATATAACCAAAGCAGTTACCCACAAATCTGCTGGCTTTCAGAAGAACAAGTCTCGAAGCACTGTTGAACTTCAGGCAGAAGTTTTATCTTTTCTGAGAAAGAAAATTGAAAAGATGAATTAAGAATTCTTTTCTTGTAGAAGCTCACTGAACAAATGACCCACCTTGATAACGATGAACTCAAGGCCCTGGGGCTAAAGAAAAGCAGGCAGAGTGACTCTGACTGGGGGATGCATTGGGAATTTTGGTTTTCTAATACCCAAAACCTCCGGTGTAAGGTAAAATGGCTACTTGAGACCATGAGAGCTGGCCTCCAGCCCTTGTCATCAATGGGAGCTCACTAAAAGCCGACAACCTGTCATGTGCCAAAGCCTCTGAAGACTTCCACTTCTTGTTTAAGACAAACCTGGGGTTTCTCATGGAAATTTATATCTTTAAGCATAAATGAAGTATCTTTTGGTTGTTTTCTACAACTTGGATTCATTTCTACCTTATACCAGCTGGTCCTTACTGTTCACATGGTTTAATGTGAGAAAAATGATGTCTTTTTTTTTTT